TTTTTTTTTTTTTTTCTTTTTTTTCATCCTTTTGCTCACAGAGATAGAATAAAACTCTCGGAAGTCGTTTAACATTTCTGAAAGTTCTCGACAACGAAGCCCTGACTCCGCCTAATGTGTGTGTATGTGTGTGTCTCTTATATTTTTAGACGAAAATCATTTTGCCAGTTGGTTTCCTTTTAAGCATTTGCCATTAAAAATTCGCGCCCTTTTCTCAATAGAATATAATTACTTATTATCTACATGTTTTTATTTTTCTTCAAACGCATTAATCGTTTCGTAAACAAATGATTCGTAAATTTTTAACTTTATTTCAAAATCCTATTATAATTTATAATTAATTAGAATATTTTTGTATATACAATAATTAGAATATTTTCAACACAATGTTTTTATAATTACTTTATTATCTACTATTTTTTATCTTTTTCCAACCGCATTAATCATTTCGTAAACAAAAAAACATCGAATATTCGTAAATTTTTAACATTATTTAAAATCCTAATTTTCTAATCAATTACAAAATTTTCTTGTAAAGTACGTACAAGAATAGAAAAAAAAACAAATCAAAAAATATTTAAAGGATGTGTGTATACTTTAAAATAAAAGATTATATTATTCGTAAAAATTGTTTGTTTAAAATCAGACAAATCTTTCTTTATAAAATTCTAAACACTTTTATCCAATTCTATAAATTATATTAAATTAATTAAATTTGTGATTTGATCATTTAAAAATAAAAATTTCGTTCGAATAATCTCGAAAATGATTAATTGATTTGTTTAAATTAATAACAATTATATTTATAGACTACACTTCTTCATACATTTTATATTTTTTAATCTTAAATTTCTTATAGTTCATTATTACTATTATTATTATTATTATTATTCATCACGAGGAACACTCCTTAATAGAAATGATTCCATACGGAAATAGTATGGCGATCGTTAGAAAGGGATGTGAATTATTATTATTATACTACTGTGTATAAAGACACACACACACACACGTTCCTACGAAAGTCAGTCGATAATAATAATTGATATCATTCAAAGAAGACTACTCTCTATTTTTTTTCTCTCTCTCTCTCTATCTTTCTCTTTTTTTGATATTATACTATTCGTTTAAAGAATAAGAGACACGACGAGAAACAATGTTAATTCGTGCATGACTATCCTACGTAATCGTCATTCGCTTTTACATGAATTATTATATCGGTCAATATGTAAAACTCTATCAATTTTCTTATTTCTAATTTAAATAGAAATATAAAAGAGAAATTAAAATATATATTAAACCATAAATTAACATATATATCTTATGTTTTATTAT